AAGCTTGCACAGTATTTGGGTGGTCTATAGATATTTAGGAACAGAGCTCGAGAGGAGTATTTCAGCTGAAGCGCCACACAATTCAAAAGAAGCAAAGTCCCCATAAGATGTCTTCCTGCATTGAATGGAATCATTGAACAAATAGCAACTCCACCCCCTTTCTTATGCATTCTTTCCTGACTCATAAAACTAAAGTTGGGAGGGGTTGATTCGATAAGAACAGCTGCACTGTTATTTTGTTCAATCCAAGTTTCTGTTAAAAACATAAAATCGAGATTGTGCTCAGTAATAAAATCATTGATTAAAAACGTTTTTCCTGCCAAAGACCTGACATTTAATAAAGCTAGTTTAAGTTTGTTGAATATACTATCAGTCAGATTTTTTGTGACAAGCTGTGGCTGACATGGAGTCACTGCTAAATTTGATAAACTCACACAAACGTTTGAGCGCTTCCTGTTTCTAAGCTGATGGCTACTGGCAGGCAGGGCCCCGGCATGTGCTGGAAAGAGTTGAGAGTGCCATACGCCCTTGAGCCTGGACCCAGCACATATCAGTAAGAGTTTTGTACACACACATTCTTATCAGGCTTCGGTGACCGCAGATGGTGTCTTGAAGGGGGGGGGGAGGTGGTTGAAGTAGGCACGGTGATGAAGACGGGGGAGATGGTGCGCGTCTCTGTGGGCGTCGTTGAGGGGCGGGGGTAAAGGACATGCTGCCAACCCTGCGTATCGCCTTAATGCGGTCATTGAACTCCAGGAAGGAATTGGTGCCATCCTGTATCTCCTTCATGTGTTCAGCGATCTCCAGGAGGGTGGGCGAGGGTGAGTAGAGAGAGCTGTGGGGTGAAGGAAGAGTATCCTCAAAGGTGATAGGGGGGGTGAAGGGCGGTGGAGACTCCTCCATTTGTCATAGGTTTCCCATAATCACGACATTCCTCAGGCGGGTGCAGTGATACATCTTCAAGGTTTTCTGAGCAATGTGTTGTGTCTTTCTCTTGTTTTGAATCTTCTTGTTGCTTGTCCTTGGCAGAGGGAACAGATTGATGACGCAGGCAGTTGAATATGTTAGAGATAAACAATTTCACTCCTGACTTGTTCAGGCAAACTCCATCTGCCTTAAAAAGATGTCTGCGGTCCCAGAAAAAGTTAAAATGGTCAATAAAATGGACAGAATGGTCAGTACAGGCAGCTGAAAGCCAAGTGTTCAGTGCAAACAGTCTGCTGAATCTCTCCACTCCTCTTCTGACTGGCGGTAGAGGGCCACTGATGAACACTTCCGCATTTAGAGAGCTGACAGTTTCCAACAGACATTTAAAGTCTTCTTTCAGCGCTTCTGACTGTTGTTTCACAACATCATTTGTTCCAATGTGCAGTACCGTAATCTCTACTCCATTACTTCTCTAAGGGAAGCGTTTGAGATTTATTCCCCTAAATTAATTTGTAGGTACTTTTTGACATAAAAACATATACAGGGTATATGCAGGAATCAAAATGTAATACCTTTTAAGACCTTTTTTAAGACCCTTTCCATACATTTTAAGAGCTCATCGCAACTTCGAGTTCTAACCGGTTACATTGGCGACACACTTTACCTCACATTTACTACAGTATTTATTGTAAGATAGCATAACTAAACAGCTTGTGATAACTCCTTATCATAATTCAGATAGAACAAAGCACAAGAGAATGAATTGTGTGACCAACCCAATGCAAGGTTTATTAGAAAAAGAAACCATTAGAAGGTAGTATTTGATTTAGGCATTGTTCCCAAGAGATAAAACAGACAGACTACTGAAGCCTCCTCTCCACATGAACTTCAACCTCTCTGTCAAGGTCAGGTTTAATGCAGTATACTGCTTGTTGCTTCTGTAGACACACTTTGTGCTCTTTCATTCCAGTAAAACTCCTCAGAAACCATTAGAAACCAGTATTTGACCAATAAACAAAACAATTGACAAAACTTTGAACTATGAAATATATTAAACTTTGGTGAGCTTCAGCGGGGGTAATGGCATACTCCGCTGCTCCTCCATGCAGAGAGTCTGCACTGCAGCGGTGTGTTTCAGCGACGTGCAGTCAGGGGAGGCACGGATTGGCCATCGGGAGAGTCGGGATTTAAACGCAGCGGCTTTCTGGCTAGCACTTAGCATGTGGGACCGGACAGCTTTGATCCCCATCGACAGTGGCGATTCTAGAGTCTGTGGGGGCCCCTCGAACCAGCTTTCATCACCATCAGTGGCGCCCCAACACACTCTCCCCCCCAGAGCGGAGCAAGGCAACGACATTTAAAATAAGAAGCAGCATTTTACGGCGCGCTATGCTCGTTGCTGTGGACCTTCTTAATACCTTGGCTTGGAAAATGCCTTTTAATACTTTTAAGACCCCGCGGACACCCTGATATAATAATCTTGTAATATATGATGCAGTATGCTGCTAATATACCATGGCTTAAACAAAGTATGTTACATCCACTCCATATTGACAAATTACAACATTAAATGCTTTAATGAACAGTAAAAACAGCTCTTTGCATATATTTTGAATATGTTTACTTCTGTTATTATATAGTAGTGAAGTAACATTTTGAAACAACTGCTTCTACCAATAACAGTCTTTTTATACCACGCTATTTCAACTTCTATATAAGTGAAGCATACAGTAAGTACCTACCTCCTCCACCTCGGCTTGAAGAAAATGTCTTTCCAATACTAACTGCAGAATAACATGCACTATTAAAAACCATTGACTTTGATGTGTTCCTAACATTGGAAAGATTATTTCAGATGATTGGGTTCATATATGTTTGTGTATGTATAAACCCGTATTGTGTAACCTGAAGGGACAGTAAAATAGTTGCTGTTGAAACACTTTTCTATATGTAAAATGTTGATATTTTTTCATTTTATACTTTTGTGACATTCTTTTCTATGTGAAACCATTGTAAAACAATTACAAACACCAGCATTGTTCCTGAAAAAAAGAGACAGAGGTGCAAAATCCTATGAAGATCTGGGCTTTATTTCAATAAGCATATTTGGTTGATCATTTGGTTTTTTTGACAAAAGGACAACTTGTTTTTTCATTAGTTCTTCTACCTTATACAGACACGGTGACAACTACTTCATATGGCATGTATATTATAGGCTATTTGGTTAACAGAAGAAAGTACAAAGACGCAAAGTACAAAGACGCATGGGCTTGCATATGAACGGGAACTGAGATGCTCAATTCGTATATAAAAATGCTGGATGACACTTAAATGTACAGTACATGTGTTTTGTGAAACTGCAGGGACAGATTAAAAGACCCTGGTGTGTAAGTTAGTGGGTATATGATGGACATTTTGCTTCGTTTACACAGACACTTGCAGTAGTAATTCAAACTAAAACATCATTTCTTGGTAATTGATGTGTTTGCTACGTGTCTATCTTTTTGTCTTTTACAAATCACAAAAATAACCGAAACAACTACTACTAATACAGATTTGGACAGTTTTGGTAGAATAATCATTTGGTCTTAAGAGACACTGGTGTTCCTTTTTTTTAAGTTTCAAAAATAAAACGGTGAGTGATTGTCTGCTTTTACAGAGCAGTCACACAAAGCTATGCTCAACGTTAAGAAGGAAGACATAAATACTTTATCAAACCTTACTCACCTCCAGACTTGGTTTATGAACCATTACAATTACAAAGGTGCAGAGATACACTGATTGTAGTTAAGCAAAAAGGCAAAACTGGTTAAATGATTTCAGAAAAGAAAAAAAACATTTAGCAAGGAGGCGGTTTAAAGATAAAAACGTGCACCTCTGTAACATTCAGAATCATTCGAGAAGTGCGAACAGAATTCATATAAAAAAAACATTTAGCAAGGAGGCGGTTTAAAGATAAAAACGTGCACCTCTGTAACATTCAGAATCATCCGAGAAGTGCGAACAGAATTCATATAAAAAAACATTTTAACAACATTTTTGCAAAAGCGAACTCAGTAATAACAAGCAGAATGTGCTGTAAGTCTATGTACATTTCATCATATAACATACTACAACTACTGTATGTTTTTGCATAAAGTTTGTCAAGCTTAATGAATCCCTCAACAACACATGAGACATAGTGGCACCGTCTGTAGCAAGACATGCTAACTGCATCCACATTGACTCTGATTTGGTTTTCAAATCAACTCTTTTGCATTTCTGTAACAGTAACTACCTTTAAAACATGCACTGGTCTCCCTGCACCTACAGCATGGACATTGAAAAACTGCATTTATTAAACCTTCTGTGTGTTTAGACATTTGATGGAAAACACTTCTATAATTATAAGGAAAAAACCTTTGTTAGCGTGTAGAGCCATTTAGTAACAAGATGCATCTGTGTGCATTTATATATAATCTGTCATTTACTTGATGTTTGTCTTTCTAGTAATGCAACATACATTTATAAAATTCCCCCTTTAGCACATTAAAACAATGCATGGACTAAAAGAACAAGAAGCAACAACTAGGTCGTTTTGCTGAATTATACCATCGACTAACCGTGAGCCATCGTATTTAAAAAGATAAGAGTGAAGGGTTGCGACGATGAGTTAGTATTGACAGGCTTATCACATTAAACAACACATAAGGATAGGGTGTAGCGAAAAGAAAATGACCTAAAAAGCAGACGATATCAGTTCAGAGTGTCCTCTGCCACGTCTCACTGTCCATCTCAACAGTCTGTTTCTCTGAAGCAATAAAAGCCGGTCGCCATCTGGTCGGCACTTCCTCGTTGATCCTTCGATAAACAGTTTGTGTTTGTGTGCGAAAAGCCGAAAAGAAAAGTCTTGATTTATCCAACAGAGAGCAGAGGATGCTCGGCCGGGATCACAGGAAGTAGACAGGAACTGATTGAACTTGTGATTGACAGCTAACTGCATGCTTTTGGGAGAACTTGTGATCTATCTAGCTGATAATACTCAATTTAGAAATTATACAACAGTTTTCTTAAGTGCAAAGAGAAGAAGAAAACATAAAGGGGGAGATTATTATAATGAAAAACAGAATTAACGAGACGTGAAAAAAGCATCGTACGAGTTACACAGAACCCCCCAAAGTCAGTCTGTTTATGCTTTCCTCCGACCGGCCTACGCAAACACCTGCATGTTGCCGTGCTGCGGCTGCTGGGCGGCCGGCTGCATCTGCTGCGACTGCGCCTGCAGCTGCGCCTGCTCTGGAATGTGTGTGCGGTGTGAAGACGGCAGTGCGTGGTGGGGGTTCCCCAGAGGGGTGGGGCTGGTGGTGACATCAGACCAGTCCGAGTTGGAGTGCGGCGAAGAGGACGACCAGGGGTCCGGGGACTCGGGCGACGGCGTGAGATACGGGTGCTCGCTTGGCGGGTGGGCGGAGTGACCGGGGATGGTGCCCTCCGAGCCGGTGGTGGTGAAACTGTGCTGGGAGGGGGGAGTGGGGTATTTATCCACAGGGCTCTGCATGGGTGGATAGGAGGGCAGCTGCCGTGACTGGCCCTCGATCCCCCGTGGCCCCCGTGGCCGACGGTGTGGGGGTGCTGCATGGCGTGGGACATCCCGTGCCCCATGCTCATCTGCTCGGGCATCTGGTACATGAGAGCCTGGGAGCACCGCAGCTGGCCTGGCCCCTGCTGGGAGTGAGTCTGGCTCTGGTTCGGCCCCTGGGACTGAGGGACCGGCCCCTGCTGAGGCTGCTTCAGCATGGCCTGGCCCCCCCCAGGCGCCATCATCTGGAATGTGACGATGGGCGGCAGCTGCTCCCTGCTCATGGTGACGTTCATGGGGGTCAGCATGGCGCCCTGGCCGTGGTGCTGGCCCATGCCGGAGTGTGACCCCCCCATCTGGTGCGGCACCAGGCCGAACATGTGGCCGCTGTAGCCGTGCTTGGTCATGGGCACCCAGCTCTGCTGCTGCCCCAGCATGTGGCTGACGGGGGGCAGCATAGGTCTGGAGGTGGGGCTGCTCAGGAGGGGAGGGGAGTTGGCTGTGGTGGTGACGGTGCCGGACACGTCTCCTGTGTACGAGTGCGGTGATTCCAGGGAGTCGACGGGCGACATGATGACGGAGCTCTCTGGAAGTCCTGCTGCCTTAACGCCGTTTGCGTTCCCTCCTGCTGTTGCTGCTCCACCTCCTGCTCCACTTCCTCCTCCCGCTCCAGCAGCTGCAGCCGGCGCCTCTCCTCCGGCCGGTTTCTTTCTTCTCTTTGCTTTCATGTCTTTTAGCTCCTTAGCATTACCAGCTCCACCTCCCACCTTTGCTCCACCTCCACCCCTCCTGTTCTTCTTCCCCTGAGCCCCGGGGCGCATGCCCATGTATCCAGCTCCATTGGCCCCGCACATCACCGAGGAGTTTCCTCCGCCCATGTGGTTAGGGCCGTTGTGTGGACTGTGAACCAGGTTGTACTGGTCCAGCAGACGCACGATGTCGTGATGCATGCGCTCTTGAGCAGTGTCGCGGGGCAGCCGGTCCAGGTGATCCGTGATGTCCCGGTTGGAGTAATGGTCGAGGAGAACCTGAGCCGCCTCAAAGCTGCCTTCTCTGGCTGCCAGAAACAGTGGCGTCTCCTCCTGAAGAAAACATAGCAAGCAGCATGTTTGAATACATAAAATATCTGTTTTGAGTAGACTCAATTTAATCGGCACGTTTATAAACCTGATGATTTTATTTGATACAGATTTGATTGCACCTTTGTTTCTAGAGTAAAATTAGATTAGAAATGTAATTATAGAAACATTGACAACATAAGAACAGACCTTATTGTCTTGCATGTCACGGTTGGCTCCATTCTTCAAAAGCACAAGAGTGGCCTCCACATTATTAACTGCAGCCGCCCAGTGCAGAGCGGATTTGCCTAAAATGTTAAGACGGTGAAAAAAGGACAGAAATTAGGCTGAATTTATGAAACTCATTTATTTCTGAAGAAACATTTACTTAATTTTAAGATGTAATTGCAAACAGCCAATGACTTGTAATACAAAATCAAGACATTACACAGGAAGAGTGATTATATGAGAGGTTCACTGACCGTGGTCGTCCACAGCATTGATGTCAGCGTGGCAGTGTGTGTGTCGCCATATTCACTGAGCTGTGATTGGTTGTTCCTCGTCACATGACCAGCAAAGTATTTAAAGAAAAATTGTCAAATCAAAAATACAAGTGGAAACAAAAGAGGAATAAATAAAAGAACGAAAAAACATCATTTGATTAATTTGTTAGAATGCTAAATATTAGGTGGAAAAACAACACCACCGCTCTAGCGAGGAAAGCCCAGCAGCGCCTGTACTTCATCCGGAAGCTCAAGCGAGCCGGAGCATCACCCCCCATCATGCTGTCCTTCTACCGAGGCGCCACCGAGAGCATCCTCAGCAGCTGCTTCACGCTGTGGTTCGGAAGCTGCACCGCCGCCGACCGCAAGAGCCTGCAGCGCGTAGTGAACTCTGCCCAGAGGATCATCGGTGCCTCACTCCCCTCACTACAGGACATATACAACACCCGCCTCACTCCCCTCACTACAGGACATATACAACACCCGCCTCACTCCCCTCACTACAGGACATATACAACACCCGCCTCACTACAGGACATATACAACACCCGCCTCACTACAGGACATATACAACACCCGCCTCACTACAGGACATATACAACACCCGCCTCACTCCCCTCACTACAGGACATATACAACACCCGCCTCACTCCCCTCACTACAGGACATATACAACACGCGCCTCACTCCCCTCACTCCAGGACATATACAACACCCGCCTCACTCCAGGACATATACAACACCCGCCTCACTCCAGGACATATACAACACCCGCCTCACCCGCAAAGCACTCAGCATTGTGGGTGACTCCACCCACCCCTCCAACAGCCTCTCCAGCCTCCTGCCTTCAGGAAGAAGGTTCCTCAGCCTCAGCTCGCGCACCTCCAGGCTGGGGAACAGCTTCCTCCACCAGGCGGTCAGGATGCTGAACTCTCTCCCCTCCCTCCATCTCTTCCCCTCTCTGACATCTCTCCCCTGAACTCTCTCTCCTCTCTCCATCTCCTCCCCTCTCTGACATCTCTCCCCTGAACTCTCTCCCCTCCCTCCATCTCTTCCCCTCTCTGACATCTCTCCCCTGAACTCTCTCTCCTCTCTCCATCTCTTCCGCCCTCTGACATCTCTCCCCTGAACTCTCCATCCTGCCTCCCACCTTTCTCCCCTGCCCCAAATGGTCCTGGACTCTAACCCCCTAACTCACTTTTCTGCCCATCTCCGCTGCTACTGCACTGAAACTGTACTTTGAACACTTAAATTATATTATTAACATTTTAAACTGTATACCCCGGTTATCTAGGCCCTTTGTTTTGTTTAATGTATACCATGTTTATCTAGGCCCTTTGTTTTGTTTGATGTATACATGTCACACTGTAGGACTGAGGGAAACGATATTTCGATATTTCTGGATGTACAACATGTAGAATTATTGACAATAAAGCTGACTTTGACTTTGAATAATTTAAAAATACAAATCAATGTTTAAATACTAAAATTAGAAAATAAATAAATAATATATGTGGAAATGTAAACATTAGTAATTAAAGAAAACAATAATGTGAAAATACATCCAGGAATAAATGAAGAGAAAGTTCCTCCCTCTGCCACCAGAGGGCGACACATCCCCTCGTTTTGAAGTGCTTCCTGTTTGCTGTTAAGTTTCACTTCGTGCTCCTCGTGTCGCACCTTCTGCTTCTCTCTAAGGTTTGTAACTCTTTGTGACTTTAGAGCTTTTAGAGACAACTCTTATCAATCATTGCTCAGAGAATAAGAACAACTCTTTGTGACTTTAGTTACTTCAGACTTTAGAGTAAATTCAGAGACAGACTTTAACCCTCTTCCTGTTTTTACCTCAGCTGAACCTGTACACAATAACTATAATTATTATTATTATTATTATCAATCATTACTCAGATAATAACTCCACACAGAGACCCTCTATTTCATCTGATGACTTGCTGTCCATACTACTGTATTGTGTGTGTGTGTGTGTGTGTGTGTGTGTGTGTGTGTGTGTGTGTGTGTGTGTGTGTGTGTGTGTGTGTGTGTGTGTGTGTGTGTGTGTGTGTGTGTGTGTGTGTGTGTGTGTGTGTGTGTCGCCATATTCACTGAGATATTTAAACATTAGTAATTAAAGAAACCCATAATGTGAAAATACATTATCCAGGATTAAATAAAGAGAAAGTTCCTCCCTCTGCCACCAGAGGGCGACACATCCCCTCAGCCTCATTCACAGGAACACTGTTTAATAAAACACATTAAAAACTATAGTAAACAGAGATAGGAGTACAAGAGCATGCCATTAAACTAGATTAATAATAAAGGGTAACATTTATAAATATTGGAAACAGAAGTTGTGATACAAAGAACTGTAAAAGTATAAAAGTATTATCATCAAAATATAGTTAAAGTAGCGACAGTAAAAGTAGTGATTGTGCAGATTGGTCCATTTCAGAATAATATATATGATATGTTTTATAATGATTGATCATGAAAGTGTTCTCAAAGCTGGTAAAGGTGCAGCTAGTTTGAATGACTTTGTATACTGCAGGGTAGCTTGTGGATTTACTCCAGGTGGAACTAAAGTCTGATTTAACACTTGATTATATTTCACATCATTCATCCACATCTGTGAAGTAACTAAAGGTATTCAATACATGTAGTGGAGGAGAAGTACAAAGACCTGGACCTGGACCCGGACCTGGACCTGAACCTGGACCTGGACCTGAGACCTGCTGTTTGTCCTCAAAGAGTGACCGCTCAATGGAGCCTCAATCTGCTGATGGGGGGTAAGAATAAAACCTAAAATCCATGTGAGATAAAGTCAGTTGTTGTCTGTGTTAAAGCTTCTCTGTGTAACCTTCAGGAAATCCTGGTTATTAGCGACGTCAGTGGGCGTTAAGTGAACTGCAGTTAGCATCCTGGGTATCGGCCCAAACCGTGACGTGACATTACAATCATATATCACATTTAGAATAACGCCACTATCTGAAACCTGTCTGTAAAACATCCATAATACTGGCCTGCTGTTTCCAGATGACTGTATCAGCTAACGTTATGAAGCAGCTATAGGCGGCGCGTGAGGCTCAGGTTTGGGAAGGCTAAAGAACTGTTTTTACCTGACGCTGCCCGCCTCCGGCGTCTATCGTTTTTGCAACCCAGTTTAGATTTAACCACGCCTACTTCCTCATTACGCAACCCGTGCCTCTCGAGCCGCATGTGGCTCTTTAAGCCCTCTGCTCTGGCTCCCTTGAGCTTAGACAGAAATAAGACGGAAATAAAATACAAATATTTGTAGGACTATTTATATTTTGTTGCACGGTTGAAAATGTTTCGTATTTTGAGGTGATACTGTGACACATACACATTTAAAAAAAACGGTTTTAATTAGGTCAACTAAAATATGCGTCATATCCTGCCAGCGCCTTTTCTTGCAGGCGAATAACCTGACCCCCGGCTCGATGAGCGAACTAGGGATAAATCAAAGAAAATAAAAGTATGGGAGGAACACAGAGGGTTTAATTCTGCATGGACAGAGTTATCTGCTTTCACAGCAAACGATGCTGGCTTACCGGTATGTTTGATATGTGGAGAGAAGTTGGTGCTGCATCCTTTACGTATTGGAGGAAAAACACAGAAGAGGAAGACAGCTGACGATCTTCATCATAACTCAATCAGTTAAAGGTCCCATGTCATGGCCATTTCTACTGATCATAATTCCATAGTTGAGGTCTACTAGAATAGATTTACATTGTTCAATGTTCCAAACTCACATTGGTTTCTCATACAGCATCTCTGTAAAGTCTGTGTATTCACTCTCTGTCCTAAACGGCTTGTTGGAGCTCGTGTTGGCGGGACGTTGTGCGGCTCGCTGCTGTGAGGAGCGGACAGTGTGAGCTGGGTTACTGGTGTCTTTTCCTGGTTGCTGCGTGGGGTCTGCGGGACGGCGGGACTCAGCCTGAGACAGCGGGACGCAGCGAGGCCCGGCCCGGGCCGAGCTCGGGCCGGGCCGGGCCGAGCTGCGTCCCGCTGTCTCAGGCTGAGTCCAGGCTGAGAAATCCGCGGAGTTGCAGCTGAGAAAAATAAGGCTGAGTGTGTGTGTGTGAGGAGCTCCGGGGATTGGGCCATTTGGATCGTCGTTACGTCACTTGCAGCGACGTGCAGTCAGTGCAGTCGGGGGAGGCAGAGCCTCACCTGCCATACTCCAATGTAACGGAAAAACAACTAATGAAAAACTAAATAGTAATAATAACAAAATGTCTCCACTGATCTTGTGTAAATGTGATTTCTGTTTGATTCCAATCGCTTTTTATAGTCAAACTCAGCTAATTGGCCGAGCTCCGCTACGGGAGCGATGAGATGTGAGGCAGGGACGAGCTCTGCCTCTCGTAAGCCCACAGTAACTTGCTGGAGCGCGGGCACTAATTTAGCGCGGGCACTTATTTTGTGAGCGCGCTCAAGCCAGTTACTGTGGGGTGAGGTGAGGCACAGATGAGCTCTGCCTCACCTCAGAATGCGTCACTCCACAGAAACTGTCTGGAAAGCGGGCCCTCAGCGCATGCCTGTTCCCATCTCACTGTAGGTCACCAATGTTTGTAGATCCCTTTATTATATTTATCCTTACATAAGTTAAAGTATAATCTTATCAATTGAGTTCTATTTAGTAGTAATTTTCAAGGGACACAAACATATTGTTTTTTAAGTTAAAGAAACATTATATATTAAGTTTCTTTTAACTAATAATTTGTGTTAACACTGTACATATAAAGATCAAGTATTGTTGACTTAAAAATGTTCATATCTTTTCAACTAGCTATTTTGTTAGCACAGTACATATGAAAATCAAATATATTTAACTTGAATATTTTTATTATCTCTAAATAAAAAACTTTTAGCTGTATAAAACGCGACATGAATTAAAAACGTCAATTGATTAGTACTCAAAACATTAACATTAACATTGAGTAAACATTCAAAAGCACTTTAACACTGACAGTTTAAATGCAAATCACTGTTTTATTAAGTGACAATATACAAAACTTTACACATTATAGCAAATAACTCTTTTAAATTAAAAAAAAACCTTAAAAACAGTGCTCGGGCTTTGAGAAATATCTGTGTGTATTTTAACCATCACTTATGAGTGAACACAATTTTCAGGAACAGTTCTGCGTATTAATTTAACACATGGACCATAAAGACCCAATACATATAAAAGTATAAAACAACATCTACAAACAGTCCTTCAACTTGAAGCTGAACAGTAACACATCTGTAACACATCTGTAACACATCTGTAACACATCTGTCAATGCAATACAGAACACAGATGTGAAGCAGCAGGATGTAAACAGAGGAGAACTGTGTGTGTGTGTCAGTGTTGTAGTCAAGTCACCAATTCACGAGTCCAAGTCACTCTCGAGTCACCACTCTTCGAGTCCGAGTCCAAGTCCGAGTCACCCAAGGAGTGTCCGAGTCGAGTCCGAGTCCGAGTCATCATTACCTGTGTTCGAGTCCGAGTCCAAGTCCGAGTCACCCAAGGAGTGTCCGAGTCGAGTCCGAGTCATCATTACCTGTGTTCGAGTCCGAGTCCAAGTCCAAGTCGAGTCCGAGTCCGAGTCATCATTACCTGTGTTCGAGTCCGAGTCCAAGTCGAGTCCGAGTCCGAGTCATCATTACCTGTGTTCGAGTCCGAGTCCAAGTCCGAGTCACCTAAGAAGAGTCCAAGTCAAGTCCGAGTCCCAAGTCTTCATGTATTAATCTTCATGGATATATGTGTTGAAATGTAGCTGCTCCTCTACATTGCTTTCATCCTGTCATGTTATACTAATCTGTCTATTGAACTGCTGTGAAGCCAGTTTGGCTACAAGTCTTGTAATAGGTGCTATACAAATATAAAGCTTATTACTAATATTAATATTATTATTATATATAAATAAACTATATTTAAAATGAGTTACCTTTTAGAGAAGTGATTATATTTGTATGCCAATATTTTCCTATGGTAAAGATTTCGTTTTGCACTTTTATTTTGATAGTAATAAGATCGGGACTCTTATTTTGAAGGAACTTTTACCGGTTAAATCGGTTTACTGATGAAGATTTAGCCCCAGAAAGCACACGGCTACTTAGCATGCAAAATGACGTCATTCTGCATGCTAAGTAGCCATGTGCTTTCTGTTATCGGCTGAATCTGTATGTATTGATTAGATCACGTTACTCTGATGATAGTGTTCAGCCTATATGTCTGAACTCGATGTTTAGAGTAATGTGTTACGGAGCCTTCTCTTCTATATTGTTTCCACATAACGAGCATTTTGCTGCTCTTTTCCAATGTGGAAGCAGAATGTGTGAAAGCATACAGCACGATGCGGGGTGTGTCTCTAGACATCTTTAGACTGGAACAGCGGGGCCCAGTACGTGAACTCGCCTCGCAGCCGGTGCACACGCCAGGATAGAGGACATCAGACTCCAGAGAAAACTTGCTCGAGTCCGAGTCCGAGTCCAAGTCGGAGCGTCAATGTACAAGTCGAGTCCGAGTCATCGTGGGGGGAAAGATTCACGAGACCGAGTCCGAGTCCAAGTCATCGTGTGCGAGAATTCACGAGTCCAAGTCCGAGTCGCGTCAATCAGTGCGCGAGTCCGAGTCGAGTCACGAGTCCCGAAAATCGGCACTCGAGTCCGACTCGAGTCCGAGTCCAGGACTCGAGTACTCCATCTCTGGTGTGTGTGTGTGTGTGTGTGTGTGTGTGTGTGTGTGTGTGTGTGTGTGTGTGTGTGTGTGTGTGTGTGTGTGTGTGTGTGTGTGTGTGTGTGTGTGTGTGTGTGTGTGTGTGTGTGTGTGTGTGTGTGTGTGTGTGTGTGTGTGTGTGTGTGTGTGTGTGTGTGTGTGTGTGTGTGTGTGTGTGTGTGTGTGTGTGTGTGTGTGTGTGTGTGTGTGTGTGTGTGTGTGTGTGTGTGTGTGTGTGTGTGTGTGTGTGTGTGTGTGTGTGTGTGTTTGATTGTTAAAGTGCAACTTTGTTGGTAGTATTACACGGCCAAAAGCTCATTGTTCAGGCTCAACACCCTGGGCTTCAAGTTCTTCAAGTTCCCCTCATCCAGGCCCATCAACACTTTCTGGGTGAAGTCGAAAGTGTTGGCCAAGTCTTTTGGGTAGCTCAGATGCAGGGCAAAGGTCAGTGCAAAAAGCAGGATGAATGCGTCAGCCAGTGTGGGGAGTTCGATAACTCTGATCCTCTCTGGGCAGAAGAGCGTGGTATCTGTTGACCTGGCACTGATCATGAGAAGTCCGACCGCGATGTCCTCTATGTCTGGATCATCAGACTGCTCCACCTGATGACAAGAACAGATAAACGTTACCCATTACCCCAAATTGCCTTGGCTATCTCAGAAATCTGTTTTCTAAAAAATACATCAGTGACATATCACATCAAATAACCTAAAATTATTTGTTTGCATTTTTTTATCAAATGGGCCACAAATAATTTTTTTTCTTTTTGACTGACCCCACAGTTTTGTTTTTATGAGCCTCTACCAAATGGTCGAGCTGGCCTTTTATGGTAAAAGTGCATTTTCAAGAATCATCATATACAGTATTTGTACGCATCAAACTCAAATAAAACACAAACTGAAATACATTTGTTTCTTTTATGGAAAATGAGCAATATATACAACCAGATATATTCATAAAAGATCAATTATAATTGTAAAAAAAAAGAAAATGGAAAAAAGTAATGTAAAGTGTTTTTCATAATAAAAAAAAGACTTGCTCATCTTACTGTAGATGCTG